GAAAGTGGCAAGAAGGTGACAAGCAACAGGGAGAAAGCAGAACTATTTAACTCATTTTTTGCATCTGTCTTTACACAAAGGGAAAAAACAGTCCAACCTATCAAAAACAGTACCATAAAAATAAATTAGAAACACAAGTTAAGATAGGAAAGAAAATGGTAAGTGAGCACCTGTCCAGCCTAGACGAGTTCAAATCATCAGGACCAGATGGATTACACCCCAAGATTCTCAAGGAACTGGTAGATGTGATCTCAGTACCACTGAACTAGTGGACAATCACTTAAATATGAGCCAGCAGTGTGCTGCAGCTGCCAAAAAAGCCAACACAGTGCTAGACTGCATTAACAGAGGGATAGATAGATCACGTGAAATATTAATACCACTTTACAATGCCTTGGTAAGGCCACACTTGGAATACTGCATCCAGTTTTGGTCACCATGATATAAAAAAGATGTTGAGACTCTAGAAAGAGTACAGAGAAGAGCAACAAAGATGATTAGGGGACTGGAGGCTAAAACATATGAGGAACGGTTGCTGGAATTGGGTATGTCTAGTTTAATGAAGAAAAGGACAAGGGGGGACATGATAGTAGTGTTCCAATATCTCGGGCTGCCACAAAGAAGAGGGAGTCAAGCTATTCTCCAAAGCACATGAAGGCAGGACAAGAAGCAACGGATGGAAACTAATCAAGGAGAGAAGCAACCTAGAACTAAGGAGAAACTTCCTGACAGTTAGAAGAATTAACCAGTGGAACAACCTGCCTCCAGAAGCAGTGAATGCTCCAACACTGGAAGTTTTTAAGAAGAGACTGGGCAGCCATTTGTCTGGAATGGTATAGGGTTTCCTGCCTGAGCAGGGGGTTGCACTTGATGACCTCCAAGGTCCCTTGCAACATTATTATTATTATTTTCATACTTCCATCGTGGTCATCTTCCTTGCACTTTACACACACATTGCATAACCTCTGACTAAGGTTGTAATAAAAAGATTGTAGGAATGTTCTATCATCTCTGATGGGAATTTGATTATTATCTTTTAACATTTTGGAGGGATGTCTTTAACAAAATGACACTTATAAACAAAGACTGGATACTTACCAAGTTTAGACCTTCTGTATTTGATAGAAGGAGTAAAAAGTTATGAAACAAGAGTGTTATTGTCTAACTGCAGTAAAGTTAATCATTTCTCACCAGTGGAAATATTTTGATAATTTCTTACTCAAAAACTGGTTTGATAAGACGTCAATAGATCTGCTTGAGAATGTCTTCGATGAAATTTATGTGTGTGTGTGTGTGTGTGTGTGTGTGTGTGAGAGAGAGAGAGAGAGAGCGAGAGAGAGAGAGAGAGAGAGAGCGAGCATTATTTTATTGGGACTATCAGGATTGTATCTGTTTTATACAAGATGAAATGAATAATCCTTTAGGTTATGGAAAATTTAAAGGGCCTATTTAATGTAGGAATGACTTGTATAATACTATTTTTTAGAATAAAAATGCTTTATGCCACAAAGATGAAGGAGTCAAGCTATTCTCCAAAGCACCTGAAGGCAGGACAAGAAGCAATGGATGGAAACTAATCAAGGAGAGAAGCAACCTAGAACTTAAGGAGAAATTTCCTGATAGTTAGAACAATTAATTAGTGGAACAACCTGCCTCCAGAAGCTGTGAATGCTCCAACACTGGACATTTTTAAGAAGAGAGTAGACAACCATTTATCAGAAATGGTATAGGGTTTTCTGCCAGAGCAGGGGGTTGGACTAGATGACCTCCAAGGTCCCTTCCAATCCTGTTATTCTGTTGTTATTCAGTTATACCTATTAAATTCCAAACTGCAATCTTCCGTATGCCATATAATGACAAGATGAGCCCAATAAATGTTGAATTCTGCTGCCCAGCTTTATATGTCAACACTTTATATAAATATATTTTTTTATTAGGGCACCAGGCTAGAAAGCAGGGGACTGTCAGTTCTAGTCCTGCCTTACCTATGAAAGCTGACTAAATGACTTTATGGCAGTCACTCTCTCAGCCCAACTCAACTCACCGGGGTTGTTGTTGTGGGGAGAATAGGAGGGAGGGAAATATGTTGGATATGTTTGCCTCCTCGAGTTATTTGTAAAAATAATAAAAGCGGGATATAAATAAAATAATAAAATAAAATAAATTAGGTTACCAAGCTATTCATTTCTATCCTCAAACAAACTGAGTAAACATTCATCATCACTAAGTCTATTCCAGTCTACATTCTGAAATAAATCATGCTACAGTTATTTTTCTTGCACAGATGACTAAAGCCTTCACAGAAAGAATCCTTGGCAACCTTTTGACTCAGCAGGCATTGAATGAGGTTCTTTCTGAGTCAGAGTCTTTCTTCATCCTCCACAGTCTCCTGATTCATGTAATTCATCTCCTAGTGGGATGCTCAGATTGATTGTTTCTATTTTCATTTTGGCTAAAATCATACTTTTCTTGACTTAAATGTTATGCACTTTCCTTTTCCCTGAGCAATCACACTTTCCAGGTGAGAACTTTAGGTTAATCAAACTCAGGAGTGTCAATGAATACAAGGAACTTTTATTCTGTTACATTTTATGACATTTTTGTCCTTGCTATAAGAAGAAAAACCTCTTTTCTCTTGTTTTGCTTTTTCCTTTCACTGCCGGGCTAATTATATTTCTGTACTGACTCTTTTAGCAAAGAACAAGCCTACCTTCTATTTTTTTCCTCCTCCTCCTCCTCCTCCTCCTCCTCCTCCTCCTCCTCCTCCTCCTCCTCCTCCTCCCTTTACCCTTGAGTCTACCTTCCTGCTTTTCTGTTGTTATTTTTTAAAAATCCTTGACATTACTGGATCCTTCCCCTACTACTTAGAAAAAAGTACCTCTCCCAGGTAGAGCTCAGTAACCATTGACCTTTACCCAGGGCTTTTTTTCTCATAGAACGCCCAGAACGGAATTCCGGCACCTTTTTTGGATGGAACCTTGTAGGGTAGGCAAGGCGGGTTGTATGATGTGTGTGAGTTCCGGCACCTTTTTTCTTTTTTTTACAAAAAAAGCACTGCCTTTACCTGAATATATGCATTGTTGAATTTCTTCCTATTTATACTAGGTAGGGCTTGTTAAGTGCTTATAAATGAGAAGTACTGTGAATGGTCCTGCCTAGCACCCTCCTTAACTGCTGCTAATAGCTCAGTATCCTGACCATTAAAGCCCATCAAGATGATCCCTCTCCCATTGTTTTATAATAATCCTCTTTATGGTTTGCACTGTTCTATTGACTGAATCTTCTTTGTATATAAAAGAAATGTACAGGTAGTCCTTGACCTAATATCGGAATTAGCCTGGAATTTTGGTTGTAAGTAGTCGCGTTCATTAAGTGACTGCCTTATTCAATGACCACAATCTGAGCTCTCCCTTTTGTGATCATTAAGAGACTGCACAGGGATGCTTCAGGGAGTAGGGGAGGCCCTGAGAGGCCTGGCACACACCAGCATGCTAAAGTTTGCCATGGGCTGGGAGGCATCAGCCAGCTACGCCCAATGGCGCACAGACCCTGTCACTGCCTCACCACGCCCTGATCCATTTACCTTTCTGTTTCCTTGTTTCATCCTGCACGTGGGCCCTATTCTCATGATTGTTTGGAAGGCTCCTTCTTCAAATCGCACAATTTGGATAAAAGACCTTCACAACAATCATGAGGCCAACAGCATTTGCTAGTGTTTTCTCCTCCAGAGAGGAAGACGCCAGTCAAACCAGCATTCTGAAAGGCTCTGAGTCTCAGGCTTCTGCAAACGCTGAGCCTCAGCCTTTCAAAATGCCAGCTTTGCTACAATTTTCAATAGATTTGAAATCTGTTCTTTCAGCGCACAATCTCAGGTCAACCCCAAAATGTGGTCCTGTAAACTGGGGGAGGGCAGCACAACATTTTTTAAATGCCTAGAAGTGCTTTATGGCCAATTTTGACTATGGAAAGTAGTAAAACAGCCGGTCATAAGTCAAGGACTACCTTTATTTAAAATTTTATCAACACATTTTAAAGAAGACACGGTTGTCACATGGTAGAGTGAAACAAGGATATGTTGCATTCCTCCTAATTCCAAAATTTTAAAACACAGAATCATTGCCTTTTGTCCTGCCTGCATGTACTAGCAGTTGATCATTGGAACAGAATAGAATGAAGAGTGATATATGAAGTGTCAAATTGAATAATCATAATCAAATGCAAAACATTAATGATAAAGGTAGACCTCCATAATTGGATATGTTTAGATTAATTATGAAATGCATTGAGTCATGCATATCACTCTGTTTTGGTGGATGCCATTTCAACTGTTGGAGACTGAGACTAATGATATTACAATTTTTTCAGAAATATGGTAGTTAGGTTCAAGAGATTTCATGGCCTACAAACATTGCTTGAATTTATGTGTCTCATCAATCTGCCATATAGGTATCTTTGACTTACGACTGGTTGCTTAACAACCATTCAAAGTTATGATGGAATTCAAAAAAATTACTTAAAGTTACTGTCTTCGAAGTTATGACTACTGCTCAGTTCTCACAGTCATCGCATTTTGGGTGCTTGGCAAACAGCTCCCATATACAACTGGCTGCAGCATCCCAGAGTCAAGTGATCACCTTTTGTGATGCTTTTTGTTTTTTTTCTGGCAAAAAACGCACTTTGAATAAGCTGGAATTGGACTTACAACCATGTGGTTTGCTTAACGACCACATGAGTCTCTTAACAGCTATTGTAAAAACGGTTGTAAAATTGAATCCGGTCATGTGGTCATATGATCGTAACATCTGACAACAAAAATTCTGGGTTCAATTGTGGTCATAAATCAAGGACTACCTGTATGCTTCTATAGCACTTTGAGCTGTACATATTATATGTTCTTCACATCATCAGGTGCTAGGCACATTCATTGTATTGAATATTTTCTCTCCTATGGATAAATAGGCATGTGTTACTTTGTGTACTCTGTTTCCTCTCTTTCACAGGCATCCATACTACCAGCTAGTCTGCCACTTTCTGTCAACAACTGTTACTTCCATTTGTGTTGTCATGTTGACAGAGTCACGCTGGAGGAGTCTCCGTCATACCTTGCTGGTGCTCTTCTCAGCCACCCTTCTCATTGGCATAACCATGCTGGCCATCTCCTCTGAAATCAATCCCATTGGGGTTTTCTTTCTTGTGGCAGGGGGCTTGTGTTTGGTTGGCTACCTCATTAGTGTGGCAGTTGAACAATGCCTGAAGCATCAGAATGCAGGAGAAGAGACCCAGGCAGCCCCAAGAAGACAAAATCACGATGGGTAAGACCACGTAATTGTGCCAATTTCCACATATCTTAATCACAGGAAATAAGCATCCATTTCTGACAGCAGTTTAAGGGAAACTGACTGAGACCAAGGAGTTTTCTAGTTTAGCATCCTAATTCCAGTGACGAGTGCTCAAGAGTTTTGGGAAATCTATAAGCAAGACATGAAGATAGTAACCCTTCACTGTTGCGTATTTGCAGCATCTAGAACTCAGACAGTATTAGACCAACAATTGCAGAGCAGAATATTGCCAGATTGAAAAACGATGTTTCTTCATATACCCAGTGAGGGCTGACATGCACGTATGCATTTATTTATTTATTTATTTATTCATTCATTCTGTAATAAAATCAGACTCAAGGCAGCTAGCCTTTGATGCTGCTAGAGAGTTTAATTTGTATTACCACTCTCTGCCTTTCTCCAGATGGATTGAGATTGCAGTTCCTAGAACTCTAAGGCAATTTGATAGAGAGCCGTCCGACAGGGAATTCTGTTCTGTAATCCCAACACATCTGAAAGCTGATCCATTGGATAAGATTGAACTTCAAGTAGTCCTCGACTTACAACAGTTTCTTTAGTGACTGTTCAAAGTTACAACGGCCCTGAAAAAAGTGACTGATGACTGTCATTAGTTCCACTTGTGACAGTTGCAGCATCCCTGTGGTCACATGATCAAAATGTGGACGCTTGGCAACTGACTCATATTTATGACGATTGCAGTGTCCTGGGGGCATGTGATCACGTTTTGCAACCTTCTGACAAGCAAAGTCAGTGGAGGAAACTGGATTCACTTAACCGTGTTACTAACTTAACAACTGCAGTGATTCACTTAACAACCGTGGCAAGAAAGGTTGTAAAATGGGGCAAAGCTGTTTTGACCGTTGATCAAAACATTATCTTTTTTAGTAACGTCCATCGGATGTGCTATGGTAGTCTGGGGAAGCAGTGTGGTAGCCAGAACTAGAGGTTTCTCAGTTGTAGCAGCTCAGTCAGGGAACTCTTCCAAGGGGAAGGAAAGTAGACTCCCTGGTTGTGTTTTAAATGACTATCCAGCAAAGTACAGTAGGTGTGCTTCAGGTCCCTTCTATAGAAAACAATGTCAGCTAGTGGAACTGGAAAGCTCACTTTCTCTGTTACAGTGATTACTCTTTGGAACAGCATAGTTTCTGAGATTTGGATGGTTCTGACTGTGTTGGCTTTCCATAAGGTTTGAAAACCCATTCCCCCCCCCTGGGTTTTGGGGCCAGAATGTGGGATAAGCTCTTCTGTAATGATTTTGGATTACCTCTGTGGTCTCAGTTATGCTCTACTGCAGTGCATCTAAGCATTTTGTTCGTTATGCTTTTGTCCACATGTAAACCACTTAGTCGCCATTCATGAGTTGGGTGGCCATACTCAATCATTCAATCAATCAGAGACATGTCTGTTAACCCAGGCATTTGTAGAACAACAATTTGTTCCATTACAGATTGCCTTTTAGGTTGCTCAATTTACTGTATTCCTTTCCTTTTTTAAAGTGAAACTTGTTAATTGTTGTTTTTATTGCATTTAAAAATGGTTGGTTTAATTATTTTCTTTTTCACTTAAGATTTTCTTGGGAACTGCTCTAGGCTTATCGGGGAGAGTTGTACTGAAATAAAAGTAATAATAATTATAATAATTGCATTACATGCCCAATAGTGCATGAAAGATATGACAATCTACCGGAAGAATACTAGATTCCTGTCAGGGCTTATTTATTTCAGTGATAGTTCTGAAGTTGAAAGGTATAGCATAATTTACAGAAAAGGAGAAGAATTTTGTATTCTTGCAGGTTAATAATTAAATGGGATATAGAATGCAATTATGGGGATTAAGTAAAAATTAAACCCACTTGCTTGAAATGATTTAGAATCCTGCTTGTGTCTCATTTAAAAAAAATAGGTAACTGTTCCTCACGGAACTAGGTAGCAGTTATTTTGAACTTTCCCCCCATTTTTTTTTTATGCAGAGACAACGCAACCTATGAAGCACCAACATATGAGGAAGTGGTGGCTACTGGCTACTTGTCAGATTCAGCGCCCACAATTTGGACCATCACATCTAGTCCTGGAACAACCCAAGTAGAACCCCCTCCGTATAGTGTGGTTATTGAGACTCCTCCCCACGGAGAGACTGTGGTAGAGACATTGAGTGTCTCAGTGGCACCAGGTGCACGGCGGGCCTCCGAAGCAGATCTGTACTCCAGGCTGCGCCTCCGACTAGTCCTACCCCCAAGGCTAAAACGCTTTGTCTCAGATACTCATGAACTCAAAGGGACTGAAGAGCGCCTGGAACGCCTGGAGCCTCTCACCCCACCTCCTGCCTATGAGAATGTGACTGGTGACGAAGTCTTTGAAGGACACTTTCAACCTTCAAAACCTTGACTGAAAGGCTGGAGATTGATAAACAGTGCCAGTATTACCACAGGACTTCTTTTGAGCCCATTATCAGCTGGCTGCTGTAGCCTGTATTACATTTGAAACAAAGTTTGTTTTGGGAGGGCTTGGCTCTCTTTTATGGAAAATGCATGCATTATAGACATGCATGATAAGGACTCCTTTGCTTCCTTTGGAGTTTCCTCCAGGGAGAGGGGAAAGGTAGCAAGGTTCTTAGACATTTCATCTGATGGTTGGACATTTCCAAAGTCATTCATATGCTCTTAGCATTGAACAATAGCTTAGGCTACCTAGGAAGTAGAGAACAAAAGACAGGTTGTCCTACCAGGAGGCAGATTGTAGGCACAGATTGTTAATCATCCTGCCTAGCTCATAAAAACAGAGGTCTGGAGAGAAGGAAGAACAAGGCAGGGCAGAGAGCCAGTGAAATAAAAAAAATTAAAAAGCAGGAAGTCACCTTTAATTTTTTTAACTTACCGGTAAGTTCCACTGATAAACTAAAGATCTTCCTGGCAAGATTAAAATCAGCCCATACACTGGTGATGATTCATCTTAAAACTGGTTTCTCTTATTTTCTGTGTCATACCTGTCATAATAAGTGTTAGTATTTGTATTTGTCTTGTGTTTTTCAGTCAGGAGTAGGCAATTTATCCAAACATTTATTTCAATATTCTTCTGAATGGAAGCTAACCGTAACAATGACCATCTTCCTTAAAATCGAGTACGGGCAAGTAGGGGCTCTGTAATGCAGAGAATAGCGCCCTAAGAATACTATTGAAGTGTCCCCTTTCTCTTATTTATTGAAACTGGGCTTGCTTTACATGAATCACAATATGTACATGTGGAGTATTTCCTGGTATGATGATAATGAATACAGTATGGATCTGTGTCACAGCCTTAGAATCTGTCATGATGAAAATAAGCTTTTATATAAACAGTTCATACAAGCTAGTGCAATATAGTTTCAAAATAATTTAATTAAAATATTTCAAATCTGTCTTTGGTGAAGGGGGCTAGTAAATCAGATTTCACTAATTTTACCTGAAATAGACACAACATTGTAAGTGGCAACTGCTCCACACAAAGTATGAAATAACATAACCCTTGGTGGCAAATTTGAAATTCAAATAATACTAAGGGTGCCATTTTACGATTTTTTTAAATAGAGAAATCTGAATAATTTCCAGGTATGTTCAAAAGATTCATGTCTGAAAATTAGCTGCTAAAAGCAGTAGTAATGAGCAATATATGTTCTTTTTATGGCTGACACATTGATTGTGAAGGTGCAGAAGGATGAATTTTAATACTTTTTAAAAATATGCAAAATTGTAAAACTGAATATACAAAATACATTTAATAGCTTGCTAGATTTTAAAAGCATAAATCCAGCACTGCAAAGAATGCTAAAACAAAATAAAATATTTGAATACAGAAAATCTATGGGCTGATCTCTTGCGTCCAGAATAACAATCAATGGAAGATGTTAGTTGAGTAAGTCTTTTCCTTCCAAGCAATGCACTTTTAGGAATCCCTGGAAATAGACCAGCTATATGATTCCTGTGTCTATTAGGCTGAGGGGTAGTCACAAAAGAATAGCACGCTGGAAATGGAAAACAGAACTTTCTATTAAAAGATAGTTCTTTCAGGCACATTCATTCCTGGATAGAGGAAGAGGATTCAGCCCTAATCTTCTAGTTTGAATTAATTCTAGGGTGGACAATTGCATATATTCATGACTTTCATGTGCCCCACAGAACTCTCCTGGATTCTTCTAACTTTTCTTCATGACAGTTATTTTGGGCCATCACACATTCTATATGTTGCCAAAATACAATGGCTTTCAATAGAAGAGAATATATGTTGTTGTTGTTAGTTGCGAAGTCGTGTCCGACCCATCGTGATCCCATGGACAACGATCCTCCAGGCCTTCCTGTCCTCTACCATCTTCTGGAGTCCATTTAAGCTCACGCCTACTGCTTCAGTGATTCCATCCAGCTACCTCATTCTTTGTCGTCCCATTCTTCTATTGCCCTCAATCTTTCCCAGCATTAGGCTCTTCTCCAGTGAGTCCTTCCTTCTCATTAGGTGGCCAAAGTACTTGAGTTTCAACTTCAGGATCTGGCCTTCTAAAGAGCAGTCAGGGTTGATCTCCTCTAGGACTAATTGGTTTGATCGCCTTGCAGTCCAAGGGACTCGCAGGAGTCTTATCCAGCACCACAGTTCAAAGGCCTCAATTCTTTGGTGCTCAGCCTTTCTTATGGTCCAACTTTCACAGCCATACATTGCAACTGGGAAAACCATGGCCTTGATTATGCATATTTTTGTTGGCACTGTGATGTCTCTGCTTTTTAGTATGCTGTCTAGATTTGCCATAGCTTTCCTCCCCAGGAGCAAGTGTCTTTTAATTTCTTGGCTGCAGTCCCCATCTGTGGTGATCTTGGAGCCCAGGAAGATAAAATCTGTCACTAGAGAATATATGTAGCTCAGGGCTGAACTGTGAAGTCCTTGGTGCTCTGAGCTTTCTTACTTCTGAGAACCTATTTGGGGACATTAGCAGAAAGGCGTTCCACCAAGCAGTTTTTATCAAGTGTTGTGAACATGACTAAGACTTCATTTATGCTGAAGGCATTTGGGTATATGAAGAATATAATAGTGGCATTGTCCAAAACCCATTTGTCATTGAATGGAAACACAACAAACAATTCAGGACCATATCTATAGCGTTTCTGAAGTGAGCATACAGCATACACTTTAAAACCTTTCGGACACAGAAGTATTGTATGTTTTTTTAAAATCTGCAATTACTGTTCACTTGCAAGTTTCAATTGCCACTGCATTTTTTTTGCTTTTGGTCCAATTTTCAATTTGCAAGAATTTGAATATTGATTTTCTGTGTTGAAAGTCAGTTTTTTTTCCCCCAACCCAATGGAATATCAGAAAGATATTCTGTAAAATGGCTTGGGTACTGAGAGTGCAATAACTCTCCAAAAACAGAATGGCTCCAAAATTTGGGAGGAGAAGCTGAGGAAAAAAAATGATAATAATAATGTATAGTGGCTAGGAGAGCCTTCACATAGCTTCGAATTGTGTGCCAGTTGTGGCCATTTCCAGATTGGGAAGCTCTGCTCACAGTCACTGATGCTTGGTCATTTCCCAGATGGAGTATTGTAATGCGCTCTCTATGGAGGCTGCCCTTGAAAAGTATCTGGAAGCTTCAGCCAGTGCAGAATGCAGTGGCATAGGCAAATCATTCAAATGCCCCACGAGGGCATCTGCTTTCTCTCCTTACAGATCCAACCCCGCAGCTCCTGCACATGACAGAGGAAAAAAAAAGCCCCAAGCTGCACCTCACAGAAGGATTCCAGCCGGCACAAGACTGAGCGTGAAGCCCTAAGAACCTCGCGCTGAACAGCTGATAGGCGCGCTGGATCTACGCGCCAAACAGCTGACAAGCGCGACTTTTGAAAATGGTCTTGAGACTGACTGCTTTATCCCTTTAAGAGCTTCTTAAGCACGCTATGTGCACATGCCTCACTACAACCGTTGTTGAACTGTTATGTAAATTTATGCGCTTACTTCCCCCTTCTCATTTAGCCTTTTGCTCTGATGATGTTAACAGGTTGTTAATGAAAGCTCAGCAATTAATAAAAAAGCCTTTTACCTTACATCCCAGAGTTCTTTATTTTTATCTGATTGACTTTAAATAGGCAGTTTTGTATATCTCTAGAATGGAACACATTACAGCAGTGGTTCTCAACCTTTTTAATGCCGTGACCCCAACTGGTCGTAAGTCAAGGACTAAACCGGTTGTAAGTCGAGGACTAAACCGGTCATAAGTCGAGGACTAAACCAGTCGTAAGTCGAGGGCTACCCAATCGGTCGTAAGTCGAGGACTTTCCCTGCCTGGGAGCGCCACGCATGCGTGGTTCCGCCCCCTGCACCGGCCGAGGCGTAGCTGGCAAGCGGCAGAGACGGAGCAGGCCGACCACCAGCTGGCCCAGCCCAAGGGAGGTAAGGCACCCGCCCGAAAAGGGGGAAAAAATGGCGGACAAAAAAAATGGCGGACAAAATAAATGGCAGACAGCCTTGCTTGGCGACCCCCATGAAATGGTCAATCGACCCCAAATGGGGTCCCGACCCACAGGTTGAGAACCACTGCATTACAGCCTCTACTCCACAACCGGCATTTGATGGCAGCTTGCTTCCAGGTCCAATTCAATTTAAAATACTTTATGGCACGGTGGTGGGTTATTTGAGGGAACACTTCTTCCCCATTACATTTACCCATCCCATCTGATCTGGAAGAAGAGACATGTTGTAGGCTCTGTCTGGTAAAATGCCCTAGAGATGGGCATTTTCTGCCATGGCATGCAGCTAATGGAACACCATCTCCCCCCCCCCCCCGAATCTCAAGGTCAAGGTGGCTCCATCCCTGTTAACTTTTTGCAAATCCCTCAAGACTTGGCTATGTCTCAGAATTGGAGGCCCCCAAGGGAATGGTGAGTAGTTGTAGTTGAGGTATCTGTTGCTCTCTCCTTGCCTTTTTTAAAAAAACCATTGTATTAATTTTTAATTATTGGGTTTTTTTTAAAAAAAATATTGTGGACCACCCAGTCACATTTTGTGAAATGGATAGTTTTAAAAATATGAATGAATGGATACATTAAATTTATATGGTACCTGGCTCCTGATGACTCATTAAAACATTTATAAGGAGCAATAGAAAAAAAAACAAATATTCAAACAAAATATAAGAAAAAGAGAGAACAGAGAGGAATGAAAGAAAGAAGGGGCATCAATCATACTCTCTATAGGCCTGTGCAAAGACCTTCAAAATTCCAACAGGATGAAAGCTATCTGAATTTTGGGGAAAACTTAATTCCAGAAGGCAAGTGCTGTTACAGAGAAGGTGCATTTCTGGGATTCCAATAGTTTAATCGATGGAACCCGGAGCTTGCCAGCCCTACAAGATCAAATCGGTTGGGCAAATACTATGGGAGAAATTCAGAAATGGGCCAGAAGCCCCAGATGGGAGGGGAAAAAAAGCAGAAAATTCCCTTGATTCATCTCTGCAAGAGACAAACTTGGTCAGAATGTAGCCAGCTTCTCCATACCTAGCTTCTTTTTGCCTCCTTTCTGGTCACCTGACTCAAAGGGCTCTTATTGTGTTATTAAAGTGTTGGAAAGCCAGAAGCTGCATTCTGCATGTTTTCCCTATCTTGTTTTTGAAAGAAAAAAAATCACACACACACACACACACACACACACACGTACAGAGTACATATATACTATAAGCAGGGGATTAAGAAGTCTCTCATAGTTTTCACATTCATAATATATAATCTTCCAAAATTTTGCTTTGTCTCATAAGCTTTAGTTTCATAAATGTTTTGTGAAATTTTGGCTATACAGAGTAAGCTGTTTAAGGGGCTATAGGTGTACAGTATGCTGTTTAGGGTGACATCATATGTGGACCCTTGGTTCCTGTCCGATTTGATTATGATATAAAAGTCAATATGAAGGAAATGTTTGGGAACCTTTGCAGTTTACCACATACAGTATATTTTCCCATTGATTAAGATGAGTATTTCAATTATGTATTGATTTATTTATCAAAGTTATATGGCTGCCCATCCCACAAGAAGTAACAGTGAAAAAAAATGAAAACAAACATGTCAAATACAGTCATATTAAAAAACACACACTCACAGACAAAAGATAATGATTCTGCCATTTCATTAATACTAGTGGCAGTTCATCCTGCATCCTTTGTAAGATTCTGTGCCATTTCTTATTCCATATGTGTTCTTTGCAAAACACATATGGAAAATAGTAGGGATGATTTTCTGTTGACATTTTCTGTTCATCTTTTCAGATGATCCCTAATTCATTCTATGAAAGAGGGACCAATAAACATAACAAGGAAAATAATCTGAGTTGACATTATCTGTAATTTGCATCCTTTTATCGTCATTTGACTTGTTACATCACCTGATCTGAATGCAAACTTATTTCTGGTTGTCTGTCTCAGGCCCCTCATCTAGTAGTTCTGCTATAAATACTTTGATAGGCAAGCCATTTGCTTATCTAGTGTTTGCAAATTATTTATACTTGTGTACCATCATTCTGCGCTACATAACACATTGTTCTTATTCCGTG